ACTCTTTCACCATTCCTCTCCCTCCCACCCCGCCCTTTGCTACACACTAAACCTACACCCCTTACCCCCATCCCCAAGAAATATGACACAAAGAGAAGCAAACTCAAGGGGTAATCAGTCTTGGTGGACTTTTTCTAAGGACTTGCTTTTCCCGTTTGTATTGTACAGTACTGAGAATTAATGCGTTTTCTCCACTGTCGTTGCAGGTGCGTCGTGAGATACCATGTCAGGCATCCCTGTTGAGGGTGGGTCCTGTGACGTCCACCACCCCGCTGACCAGGTAGAGCCGAAGGGCCGAGGGAGGACCCGCTACTGCAAAAAGTGTTCCTTCACATGCACAGACGCTAGAGAGTTCACCGCTCACCAGGCCAGTCATTCGGACGTGACTGGCGATACCAGGAGAGATCGGCAATCTTCGCCAGACGCAACTGCTGCTTGCTCCCCTGCCCCGAGTTCTACTGCTTCTACTGTCGCTGCTGCTACAACTACTTCTGTTGAGGTAACTACCTCTACATCAGCTGGTCGTACTCGAAGGAGTTTGAGGTCCTCGCGGAACTCTCGGAGCAGCGTGTCCGACATGGCACCCCCTCCAGCCCCCGGCCCCGATGTGGCGAGTGGGACAGACAGCTCAGAAAAGACATCACTGTCGCAGTCAAAAGTGGACAGAGAAGCTAAGGATACTGGAGATTCCAACGTGGCTGCAGACACCTCGAACAAGTCAGAGGGCGGACAAACAGCTTCTGCTATAAGCATCGGAAATTCTGACAATAATGTAAAGACCATTGAAAAGGAATTTGAAGAAGAGAAGATGGAGGAGGAGGAAGGCGATGAACCAGATTCCATGATGACCATGTCCAAAGACAATATAGATATGTCTGTGGCAAAGAAGACAGAGACCCCTAACATGCAGAATGGTAACTCGGGTTACGTTAGCGGTGACGAGGAAATGGAAGATGAGGGCAAGTTGGTGATTGCCGATGACAAGCAGGAATATGTGAAGCACAGAGAACTGCCTTTCTCTACACCACTTAATGAGGAAATGACTGATACAATTGACCTGACAGCAAAGTCTCCAGCTGAAAAGGGAAATGAGAGTGACATTAATTTCCTAGGTGTTGAAAGCCAGAATTCGTCTAGAATCGTGACACCTTATGACTCTTCTGTCCTATTGAATGAGGTTGACGGCATGGAGGAGGATGATGACCGAAGGAGAGATCATGGGGTAAGCATGATGCCAGGCTCAGTTCCTTTGACAATCACTACTGACAACATTGATCAAGTTCTAGATGATGACAAAAAGAAGAAGAAGAAAACTCGCCAGGAGGTAGATCCCGGAAAGTACTTTGAAGCCGTGGACGGAAGTGGCACCAAGTATGCTTGCTCCCAGTGTGGGAACATCTACAAGTGGAGAAAAAGCCTGAACAAGCACTGGAAAGAGAAACACATGAAGGACCCTCTGGTGGAAGAGCCCAGCCCTCCTGGCATGCTGGAACTGCTTAAGTCTGGAAAGTATACTCAACTTGGAGCCAGAAGAATCTACGACAATGCTTTTCTAGCTACCATCAAGACACAGAAAGATGATAATCAGTCCCGACCTCCATCTTCACCTGGAAGTGACGGTCCATCCCCGGGTCCACCAAACTTTTTGGCTACTCCACAGAACATGAGCAGCCTAAATGCATCCCGGTTTGTTGCGTCTGTGGCATCGGCCATGATGCCAAAAATGATTGGTCCCTTTGTGGCCAACTCTGCTCAGCCTGTATTCCCTGGAATGCCCATAGGTCTCTCTCATCTTTCGCTGCAGAATGGATTTGACAATACAGAAGAGGGGGCTTTAGATCTCACTAGGGATTCAATCAAGATGGAATCTGGACAGTCGTTCTCTATGATGAGCTCACAAAACATGTCTTCGTCTTTTGACCAAGACCAGCCTCTTGATTTTTCAAAGAAGAATGGGGAGAAAGTAAACTCCCATATAAAAAACGAAAAGTTGTGGGATGAAATGAACAATTCTATGAAGCAAGGACATTCCATGACCCCGTACATTCCAAAAGTCCATAGATGCTCAAAGTGTGACTATACCAGTACGTCTGAAGTTGACTTTGCAAATCATACAAGCTCTCATCTTAATAAACGGATTGTGCGCTGTTTTGAATGCAAACTTCAGCTTAATTCCATGGACGAGCTCAATTCTCATTTCATGAAGCTACACAACAAGAAGCTGGCTGATCACAAGGAAGCAATCAAAAAGATCCCCCATGGCTTGCAACAGACTTACCACTTGCTGCAAATGGACATTGATAAGATTGGTGACCTCGGTAGTCAGGATCTTGGTGCTACTGATTCAAAGAGTCTAAAATGCAAAAAATGTGACTTTGAAGCCAAATGGCCTGCGGAGCTTCAAAAGCATGCTGTGTCTCACTCTGAAGAAAGGCCGTATATATGTATGGTCTGTGGATCAACCTACAAGTGGAAGTGGGATCTGGTAAAACATTTCCAAAAGAGCCACCCGAACCTGCCGAATCCATATCGCAGAAATGACAAGAGAGAAAGTCCAGATGCCAGTTCTGAAGAGGAGCTTGAAGAGGAGCCTGAAGCAAAACGAGCACGATATGCCATGATGACTGCTGGAGCAATGAATGGAGCTGCTGCATTCAATAGGGATGATGCAATCTCTGTAGAGGGAATCATAGCTGCCACCCAGGCTGGTCAACGATTCGTCTCTAGTCAGCCTCACTTGGACGATGAATCTGGTATAGAAACAAGTCATCTTGCTTTCCTAAATGCCTATCCCTATCTAGCCAATGGTGAGAATGTTCCAGGATTGATGGAAAGGCATTCGAGTGTTCAGAGAGCAGTGCAGGAGAGTAGCAAGAAGAGTAGTAGTTCCAAGAAAACCCCGAACAAAGATCAGCCCAGCCCTGGATCATCATCATCCTCCAGCAGGAATGAAGAGCTGCCTTACAAATGTACTATGTGCAACTACCACGCTCGATGGCCCTCTGAAGTGACTCAGCATATGAAGAATCACTCTGACTCTAAGCCGTATCTGTGTCCTCGCTGCGAGTACCGGAGCAAATGGAAATGGGATGTGGTCAAACACCTCAAACGCTGTGGTGGAGGAGGTGGCATTGATGATGTCATTGACACCACAAAGCCAAAGAGAAGGGATAACAACAGCAATACCCCAACGAGCTCTGCAACTTCTGGTCCCCCAAATGCAGTGGTGAGCCAACAGGGAAAAGTGAAGAAAACCACACCACAGCCTCCCATGGCATATATTATGCCCTCAGTGGATGAGAATGGTCAGCCGAGCGCGGTCGTGCTGAGACCGTCCCATGGCACTTCTGGGCTAGCGCAGTCAATGGCTCAGCTGATATCCTCAGATGACCAGAGTAGATCACGGTCAAGCTCAGCCTCTCTGGACAACAGCAACAATAATGACAGTAACGTCTCTGACAACAATTTCAACAACAATTATGCCCTGTACTCCAGTGGTCAGTCACTTCCCAGTGTGAGCCCATCCATGCCCGTCCCATCTGCCACGTTTACCCCAATCACCCCCAGTATTGCCAACAATAGTCCTGCTCCCTCTCCGGCCACACACACCACCAGCTCAAGACAAAACAGCAATGCAGAAGTCTGGCCTTGTCCTCACTGTGCATTTACCACTCAAAGTCAAGCCGAACTTAAGCGACACTCTGGCCTTCACTCAGAAGATAAGCCGTTCAAATGTGATGTTTGCCACTACTCTACTCGCTGGGCCTGTGACCTGAAAAAGCACAGGAGAAGCTACAATCATTTCCCTCAAAACAAAGGCAATGTTAATAGCAACAACACTTCCCCCGACAAGTCACCGGTGGTGAAAGATACTACTGACAAATCCGACAAAGTCGTCCACAGATTTAAATGCTTCCAATGCAATATCTTCTTCCCACAACTGCAAAACCTCTTGGAACATAGGAAATCAACACATATTGGCAGAGAGTCTGCTCAGAGCTCCCCAGCACCTCAGACAGAGGAAAATGAGATTGACGCTGCTCGTATTAAACATCCAAGAAAGCAGATGAGACAAATCTCGTGTCCAAAATGTCCATTTGTTTGTAGAAATCGCAACACTATGGACAGGCATATGGAGGAACATGAAATCCAGGAAATGAATGCTCACACGTGTTTTTACTGCCCTCAACAATATAAAGACAAAGAGTCTTTGTTGGATCACATTATTTCCCACCCAATGTTCAACCCGAAGGAGTGGGAGACTTTCTTCATGATCAATGAGGATGAAGAGGAGGAACAAGTGCCGAGTCCTCCCGCAAAAGCACCCACAGTCACTCCAGAGGTTCAACAACCAAAGAAAGATAACTCAGAGGCTGAGAAACAGACTGCAAAAGTCATGAAAGAGCTGGAAAAGGTCAACTCCAAGTCAGAAGCCACAGAGGCCAGAATTCAGCAGATATTGGACGAGATTCCCAAACAACAGAAGCAGTCACAGTCAGTTGCCTCAGTGCAGGCCCGGCAGCCACAGAGCAAGTACAAGTGTGAATGGTGTCCAGCAGAGTTCGTAAATTTGACAGCTGTGTACAAGCATGCCAGTCAGGCTCACCCAATCCAGCTCAAGGAACAAGATGTGAGCATGACCTTGGCATCCCAATCTGCTCAACAGAAAGCCCAAATTTCTCAGGAAATGTCCCCGAAAAAAGTACCTTATGCTGGTGAGCCTATTGAAATTCTCAGACAACAGATAGCTGAGAAGAGAAACCAGCAAATGATGGAGAAGTTCAATGAGCTGTTTACCACAAACCCCAAACTTCAAGAAGTCTTGAGCAAAAAGATGGAAGAAGAGAAATCTGCGGGGGGCAAGCGGTTCCAGTGTGACAAATGTTCCTTCGCCTCCTCCAACCTTGTCACTTTTCAGAGACACTACGAGCTGCACGGCAGTAAACTCCAGTCTCAGTGTTGGTTCTGTGACTACAGTGTTGACCGCATGAACCTTCTGTATCAACACATGAAGATCTCTCACACTCGGAAGTGGAAAGCCCTGAGTCAAGACCCAAAATATGCCAGTCAGATTCACAAAATGAATCTTGCATTTGCTAATACCAGCTCCCAGGGAAATAATGTTATCGAAAGCAATGTTACCCCTGAACCCACAACTGCCTCAGTGATCAGTGGTTCTGTTGCCTCAGGCGCCATGGATCTCAGTGCAAAAGCCTCAAAGTCCCCATCTGAAATGGCTCATGACATTATGTACCAGACCCGGCTTCAGTACACATGGAGTGGTATCCCTGTGAATGTTATTCCAGTGGGTAGTGCCCTTAACTTTGTCTGCCCCAACTGCTCCTACAACGACACATCTATTGCTAAGACCTGTTCCCATGTCATGCAGTCCCACAGAGCCATGACAAAATTCAAGTGCAAGACCTGCTCATTTTCCGATGACAACATACATGTCATGTCTGACCACTGTAAAACCTCCCACCCCATTCTTGAGCGTGTTGTAGAAGTTATTGATTTCAAACAGCTCAACTTCAGTGAACTTCAGATGGTGCAGCTGAATGCTATGAAAGAGAGAATGGACCAGGGTATGAATGCAGCTTTGAATGCTCAGGAGCCTCTTCAAGGCACTACAGCAGCTAAGAAACTAATGAGCTGTCCTTTCTGCCCATACAAATGCTACACCTCAGAAGAGATGAAGTCTCACTTGTCCAACCACAGCAAGCAGGCACGTTACCGATGCCAGCTGTGCGACTTCAGCTCTGACCTCACAAATGTCATCAGCGATCATGTCAAAGTTCATGACCCCAGTTATGCCTCCGCCAAATCTCAGGGAGAGTCAGCAGAGATGAATGCAGTGCGAAATCTCTCCAGTCCTGCAAGACGCGCTGATCCAACTGCTGTCCATCCTAAAGAAGAACCTGAACTTGAAGTGAAAGTTAAAGTGGATGAAGTAGCTGATACCGAGGGTCCTCGTGGAATCTCTAATGCTGTTGAAACTTTGAAAGAAGGATCACCCAAAATCAAATCGGCAGGACGTATCCGCTATCGCTGCTCTGTCTGCCCATACCACACTACATGCAAAAGTAATATTCTGAAACACAAACGGCAGCACCTGCACAATAAAAGGTACAAATGCTCAAAGTGTTCTTACAGCGCAGCAAGAGCTGTTTTGCTGAAGAACCACCTCGATGCTCATGACATGCCAGTGGAGGAAGATGGATTGCACCATGACATTTTCTGCAACCCCAACAGTCCAAGTGATGATCTTCGAAGTGATAATGATGACAATGATAATGATCAGGAAGCTGAAATGGATGTGGAGGATGGTGATGATGATGACACCAACTCTGATGACCTAGAAAATGAAATGGATGCCAAAGCTATCGCTGATCTAGAAGCTAAAGACATTATGGAAGCAGAAGCAGCGCACAAAGCCTCCATCCTCCTTGTTGATGAACTCGGCAGTAATGGGGAGAATGCTGGGGACAAACCACTCCGCAGACAGAAATGCCCCCACTGCCCTTTTAGCAGCAACTCTGCATATGAGTTCCGCAAACATTTGAACTTTCATGGCACTCAGGAGCGCTACAAATGTGACCGCTGCAGCTACAGCTTGGACAGATTGAACCTTCTGAGCCAACACCGCAAACTGCACTGTGAGGAGCCTGGTTACAACCCGAACCCTCCTGCCTCAGACCTCCTCAACACCAGTTTCATTTTGCAACAAAACACTGACACTAAATATGGCACCCATTCAGAGCTCGGAGCTGATCTGAGCTCTGATCAGTATGTGTGCGACTTTTGTCCATACAAAGCAACAAAGAAAAGTCTGCTCGTGACACACATGAACAGTCATGCTCAAAAGAAACGCTTTATCTGTGACTACTGTGACTGGAGTGCCGACAGACTAGAACTTGTGCAGCAGCACCGTAGAGTTCATGAAAATGAACCCGATTTCAATCTGAAAGGAGATGAGAAAGGATTTCTGAATAAAGAATTTGATGATGGTGGTTCTGGAGAATTTGAGGCCAAATACATGGAAATTAAAAGTGCTGAAAAAAGTGTAAAAGAGGGAGAAAATGAATCTTCCACCTCTCCACCTTTTAAACTGACAGTTGTGAAGAAAAGCTATCCCTGCAGACTCTGTCCTTTTAAAACCAACTCGAGAAACAGTTACTCTGTTCATAAGAGTATGCACGGGTCCTGCGCAGAATTCTCTTGCCCAGAATGCTCGTACTCTGTCTCGAGTCGTGGACTTCTGCAGCAGCACATGCACCTCCACTCCACTACTGATAGAGGGGAGGCAACTTCTCCACAGCCACCAACGTCTAAATCAACGCCACAAACCACTCCCAAATCTCTGCAAGCTTGCGAACCAGATGCTGCTGATGACGATGAAGCCATCAACTTAAGCAGCAAGAGCTCTACTGACTGCAAGACACCCCCCAATCAGTCTGACCAGAAGGTACCAGCCAGCTCCCAGATGCTGTGCTCATTCTGTCCTTTTACCACTACATCTGCTAATGCTCTAGCCGAGCATGTGAAAATCCATCCAAACCAGGACAAACTCACATGTCCACATTGCAGCTACTGTGCCACGTCCACAAATGACCTGTACCCTCATCTTCAAACTCATTTCCCTGACACTTCTGTGGAAAAGCTGATCTCAGACCAGAAAGTTGCTGAAACGTTGACCAACAACAACAACAATAACAATAACAACAATCTCTCGTCTCCACCAGTGGAAGGCAAAAATAACCTGATTGAACAGGAAAAGTCCGAACTTACACCCACAATTGAGAAGGTGGCTCCCACCAGAATATACGTGTGTAGATACTGTGACAGAGAGTTTGAGGCAAAGGCTCTCATGCTTCAACATGAAAAGCAGCATCTAGTCGGTACATAGTAATTGTTTTGTGGTTAAAAAAAACTGAATACATTCCTGTACATAGTTATTTATTATTTTCTCAGGGGGCATTTTTGTGTTACATATCAACATTACAGTAGTTTTCAAAATACATAATTTGGTTATTTGGGGAAATACTGCAATACACTGATGAAACCTTTGGTGCTGGCCTGTGTGGGTGCTTCTAGAGTTTTTGCCAATATTTTCTTTGACTGTTGAAATGAGCAAATATTCCATGTCTGTAAAAGTCATGACTGCTGATATGTTTCTCAAGGATTTAATTATTAAAATGGATTGTGTTAATTGAGCTTAGTCTGCAAAGCATTCTTCCTTCCTCTCTTTCCTTGTACATAGATTATATGACATGTGAAGGTGTGCATAAGTTGACAATTTGGTAGGCAGAATAAGAATGGGGTTAATCGTTAGACTAGATTTTAGATGACTTTCTGAACGTATTAAGCAGTCTTGAAATTAGTGAAGAAATATTGAGTAAATATTTGTAAATATGTACAATGGAGAGAGCAGAGAGAATTAAGGAATGACCCTGTATCAAATTAAGAAAAGTATCTCACAATGCAAGTGAGTCTTGTAAGTAGGCCTACAGAAAAATTAGTGATGATGAGGTGGTGATGTTAAACCACATGGCTTGTGTTTATGTCCTTTATGCTCTAAAAGCATGATCAAACTGGTTTGTGAATAATAGATAGGGGTTTTTAGTGCTTCTTTTGGTTCTTCCTTGCTTGTTGGGTTTTTTTCTTTTGCATTCCTGTCAAATGTACATTCCTAAAAACTCCTTATTGTTGTTATACCCATATACTCTTGTGACAAGAACAACTGAAACAAGAAGTGCCTACTCATCTCTATAAAGACATGTATCTTTTCTCATATACAATCATTTTTTACAATCTCAAGTTCAGTTCTTCCACAAAGTCGAAAGAGTGCCTTTTCAACAAAATATTTTCTTTTGATAAATGCAAATGTATGTGCCTTTACATCTTTTGCTTTTTTTCTTGCTTGCTTCGAAAAGTTTGCACTTTTAATGGTAAAATATGTGTGCCTGTGTATAGCTGTTATCTTGTTTTTCTTCCTTGTGCCTTGTACAGAGTTGTGCTCAAGTGAAAAGATTGCAATAAGAAGCACAACATGTGGTGAATCTGTTACAAACTTCACGACCATGATCTAATGGTCTAAGGGGAATCACTCTATGTGGGTTATGGATTGGTGTTTTCAAGGCCACTGCTTCATAAGTCATACTTATCTCTAGAAATTTAAATAACTATTGTTAAATATATTTCAATCCATCGGACCAAACAGTGCCTTGTAAAGAAAAATCAAGTCGTATTCATACCGGGAGAAGTAATGGGTGGGGTGGGGGGGGGGGGGGAGTCCGTGTTAGATGTGTTGTTTCATGGCTTGGGTTACTTAGTTCAAGGGTATTTGCTGAAAAAAATTAAATTGTAACTTAGAATTTGGTAAAGTAGATTTATCGGAGAATCAAAGATGGATTTGGGTTGTTTTTTTTCCTTTTAATGTATATTAATACTTCACTGGAAATACTCATGTACAATTGTTGTTGGGGCTGGATTTTTTATTTTAATAAAATCGCTTTGTCTGCCTGTGACTGTCATGGCAGGAAAATTGTTTGCCTTCCAGAACATTTTACAGTCATCTTTCCCTCCAAGTGACACATTTTCTTTGCTGTGAAACAAAAAAAGGTTAAATTGTACAGAAATAATGATGTTTTTGTCTAGTCATGCAGTGCTGTAGTCAATGCATTGAAGCAGTTGCAATTGCTGGGGTGTTTTTTTTTGTGTGTTTTTTTCAACATTCTGGTGTGTGACAAGTTTTTCGTTTGATTTTTAATCCTGTTACAGACTGTCAAGCAAACAATTTAACAGCCAGTTTAGAAAAAGTAATAGTTACGTGTTATCAGAAAGTGTTGACAGTTTCTGATTGGCTATTATATTTTGTTCAATTGATATAGCGTAAATTGTTTGCGTGATAGTTTGGAGTAGGTTTTTCCATCCTGTTTCCATCCTGCTTCCATTATATTTATTATGTAATTATTTTTTGTGCATTTGTTCATTTAAATACTGTACAATATATTAAATGTTGCTTTTGATTGCAAGGGCTTTTTGATTTTGTCATGTTTTCTGAACTTTATTTTTCCTTTCTAGGAAAATAGAGGGCAAATAAATCAAGTCTTCCAGTTGTAACATAAGCAATGAGCTACATATTGCCTTATTTTGTTTTTTTCTATTTACATGCCTTTTTTATATCATATTGGTTTGGAAGAAGGGAACTTTTATATCACATAATTTTTGTGAAAGCAAATATTTTTGTTTTATGTACATATCCGGGTGCTACAAGATGTAGACACTGTCAATTCATTCCTTTATTCCCTCTTAGAGGTATGTTTTATGTCTTTGTGTTTATACAGGGACACTCGCGTAAGGCTGGCTCCGGGGGTACTATTCAGTAAGCACATAAATGCATAGCGCTACTTTCTGCTCAGTAAATAGTACTCACTGAGCCAGTCAAACGTGGGCCTCCTTGTATAAGTTACATTCCTGCCCAGTGTGATTACTTGCCAAACTTGTCTTTTTTTAAAGCTTTCAAGATAAAGAATCAATATGATTTTAATTTAATTCATGGCAAAAGCAGTAAGATTACTGTGAATACAAAGTGACTTTACCTTGTTTCATGGTATTTAGCCTCTTCATTTTTCCAAACAGTTAGGCCGGCATATTGTAGAATTCTGGTTTCTTTTTTAATGTCTCTACTAGACAGCATCATGACATATCTCAATTTTCAAGAGTGGCACTAGACAGAAGTAGTCAAAATCTAATGAGGAATTTAATGTGTGTGTGTGTGTCTGTGTGTGTGATAGTTCAGTTGTTTTTATTGATAATTAGTGGGGCGAGACATATTTTACTAATGAACAAACAAGCTGTTGCTTAGCATTTGACCCTTGGAAGTGTTCCTTGATATATATTGCAATATTCATAAAGGTGCAAGATGTCTTTTTTGACTTTGACTAAGTCATGTATATATGTTGGGTTTTCTGTTGCAGCTGGTGCTGGCTGTTTTACTTTGTCATCGAATGTACTTTTGTTTAAGTTCTCCTTATATTGCAAAGAAGTTCGAACCTGTTGCTAATTAGAACACAATGCATTTCCATTATCAAGCACCACTCCACTGCTTTTATAATTTCACCCCAAATTGAACGACTAAAATAATTCTCAGTTCCTGACAGGGGGGGGGGGGGGGGGGGGAGAATGTGCCTTGTCTTTGAGTAGAAGTATTCTGGTCCAATGTCATGCTGGACTTGTCCATTTCTTAGTCTGACTTCCATATTTCAAATTATGAAATGAAAAACGTTTGCAGTCATTCTTTATAGTTTTCAAAGATTTCTTTTTAAAATTCTTATTTTTTGCCCAAATAAACTTTTTCACTAGAAAGTTTTACTTTTCAAATTGAATGAAAACTCTAATACCTCTGGTATTTGACACCTAAGCATTCAAAACTTTTTAAAATGCTTCTTGGTATTTTTTTGTTGTTGAAATTATTAAAGTCTTTTTGTGAGGGTTTAGAAAATGAATGTTCAAAATTGTTATTTGGTTAATTTTTGTAATCCTTTGGTTTGGTGTGACTTCTATGGGATGTGTTATTGATTACATGTTGACATACAGTTCTGTTCTTCCAGAAAGTAACTGAGAACTATTTTTTCATTACTGCCTTTCATAGATTTTACTTGGGGCCTTATTCTATGAAATCACATGCCTTAGCTGATATAATATGTGTATATCTTACTGTTGGCCGGTACTGTACAGGGGTTGAAGTATTTGCAGCGATCTCTGCTCACAATGTACATTCCTTGCTTGGATCATTCATTCATTCCTTTATTTATTTATTTTTTATGAAGTAAATTTTTGTGCCCATAACTTTCAGATCAGAAATCAATATTCGGCACATTCCAGATTTGGTTATTTTTACAAAAATAATGAAGCAGTGTTTCATTTCATCTCATTTTTATTTCATAATACATATCAAAGTAGGCATTTACTTTCTAATGAATTTCGATGACATAGACTGGTGTTGATTTCCTTGCGCTTACTGTAAAACATACCTTTTTTTCCCCCCAATAAACATTTAATTTCTGTAAATGTCATGGATTGTGGTACGTGTATAATTATCATGTTCTGATTGTGGTGGGTGGTGGGGGGGGGGGGGGGGGAGGTGAAAGGAGGGGTCACTCCCGTATCTGTCCGCCAACCTGTCATGGTTTGTTTGGCGTGGGGGGTGTCACTGATAGGTCCTACTCCTTTTCTTCCCCTCTGTCAGTTCTGTTTGTCTGTCTTTCTTTTTCCCAGCGCTAAATGACAGTTATTGTGTCGATGTAATGCTTCTCTAAACTCTTACCATAACTCCTAACATGTTCTGATTCACTTGGGGTTAGCGAAAATTTGATGCTTATGGGGGGAAAATATGCATGTTTTACAGTTGCCCTTGTCTTGATTCAGCGTGGAGAAATGTTTGATAAGAAAGTTGGGGGAACCTATGCAAAGTATCCACATCTCAGTTAATACATTTTTTCTGCTCATTGAGGTGTTTTATTGTTTATGTATGACTTTTTAAAAGATATTTTTTGGTGTTGTCTTTAAGATTTCAGCGGAAATAAAAAATCTGCAAACATAATTCAAATTTGTTGGTTTGTTCTATTGTGTTTGGCTGCTTTGTTCTTTTTTCCAGCTGTTGTGAAAAAAAAGACTGAAAATTTTATTGCATCTAAATTTTGAGGACTATGAAAAAGGACTGAACACATAAACCTGTAACAACCTGACAGACGCTTTTAAAATGTTATAGGACTTTTATTGGGCCTACTCAAAAATGTTTTTATATTTTATGTTGAGGTCAGGCTTTAAAAGAACCATGCCTAGTTCTGGCAAGTATGAGGTGCTTGCATTAACCTGGCTCACAGCAATTCTGTACCGTCACCAGCCATTGAGAAGAAAGTTTTACGTTTTGATAGATTAGTAAAATTTGCTCTTGGTCGTAGGCTAAGGACCCACAGGGGCGTATTCTGGCCTCGTTTTGGTCTGTGGCGGGAGGCGTGGCAGTTAGTATTTCTGAGGTGAACACAGTTCCATTCAGATTCTCAACCACAGCCCCCTTAGAAGGGCATGTAGTTATTGAGGTTACATTAATTTATTGTGGGAATGATGCGGAAATATTACTGTATTTAAGTTTACAATGTTTTACCAAGGACACACTCGAGGACACTGTCCTGTCGATATTTGGAGACTCGATCAATTGTTGTAAACAAGTCCGATTGCTAAATGTTTTGCCAACATATTGTTTTACGATATGTGACATGTTGTAGTTATAAACAGAAAAGGAAATTAAGATAATATAAATATGGTACGGTAAGATATGCAACTCCTCCCCAAGAAATTAGCAGTGTGCTTTCGCCAGACTTTGCAACATATACAGTAGGCTACACATAATGTAGCATTAGATAATATGAACACGCTCTCTCTCTCTCTCTCTCTCTCTCTCTCTCTCTCTCTCTCTCTCTCTCTC